TATATATATATATATATATATATATAAAAGGGACTATAAATATAAATTTTCATTTATATCATGGGTTTGGTCCTATTTAAAATATAAAAGATTAAAACTGAAAATAATATATAATACAGGGCTGTAAATGTAAAAGTTATTTTATATTATTGAGTTTGGTCCTAATGATGATGCGCAGAACAAATAAAAGTGGTTTTGACTGTTGTTTTAACTTGGTGAAAATGGTTTTGACCTGCATTATGGTGCGAATAACAACACCCGTTTTTGTGTTTGTAAACACATGATGAATTCAGTAAAACTATCCACATAAAATCCAATCCCACAATTTTGTCTTTATTTTATAAATGAAGTCTTTCGCAGTAACTATTAACGGTGCAAGATATGCGCAATTTTTTTTAAAATATTGGGAACATGATTTAATATTACAAGAAAAATATCAAACACACGTGTGTGCAACATGTCAGAACGAGAGGCGTCGGCAAGTCTTTGTAAGCCACGTATTCTTGTTGTGCTACGTGGCAGCAAGCCCACAACTTCACAATATCTATTTAAAGCCTTGTTTCAACCTCCTCAAATAACAATATCTATCCAATCTTCATAAAAACAACACCTAATATGCAGACAGCGAAGAATGCAGCAGCATCCGTCAAGGAGACAGCGGCAAACGTGGCTGCCTCCGCCAAGTCCGGCATGGAAAAGACCAAAGCCACCCTGCAAGAAAAGGTTCCCTCATAACATTTTTGCTTTGCTTTTTAGTTCTATTGTTTCTATGATTACTAAACTCTGCAGTTTTGTATAGGGTGAGAGAATGACTGCACATGACCCAACGCAAAAGGAAATGGCGACAGAGAAGAAGGAGGCAAGGAAGGATCAAGCCGAGTATGAGAAGCAAGTAGAGCGTGACCAAAACGCGGTGCAGAGACAAGCGGTGGAGGCCACCGGAACTCACTCATATTCCACCACCGGAGCCACTGGTCATCCCATGGGAAGCCACCAGATGTCGGCGTTGCCTGGACATGGAACTGGACAACCGGCTGGAGATGTGGTGGAAGGGGTGGTTGGGTCTCACCCTATTGGTAGGAATACCGGCACCGGTCAGTCTGTTGCCGGGAATAACCCAAGTACTGGTGGAGGCGCTGGCGGATATGGCACCGGAGGGGCATACCGTTGATAGACTCAGCGTGGGCATTTGATTTGCTTTAAAATATAGTTGTTTGTGAAGAAGAGATTGCAGTTTCAAGTTAGATTTGAATGTAAATCTTGTGTTTTTTCATCTGTATGGATTATGTATTTCTGTTTTGATGTTATTATTTATCATGTCAAGTCTAGAAATCTCGTCTTACGATATCTATTTAAAAAAAAAAAGTAGGGGCCCGGTAGCCACCAAATGGCTAATTGATGAGATAAACCCAGAGTTGGATTTGGATTAGGATTTTCATTCCACATAAATTTATATGTCATCCTTTACCCTATTTAAGTGGTCTACCCTCTTTTCATTCACTATGATCTTCGTTTGTTTGGTGTTTGAACAAACATAAACGATCGAAATTTGCGTATATTTTATAATATAT